ATAAGTGGCACTTTGGCAAAGTGACACTTGCCGACTGGCCTTTCTATATGAACTGGGCCCGGCCCTGGTGAGTTGCCGGGGCTGAGCCTGACCAAAGGATAGGCTGAGCAGCCCCCAAGCACTCACCGCACCCGGCTACGGGCGAGCTCGGCCTACGGGCAATCCCAAATAGGATAAAGATTTCCCATCCAGTCCGGATCAGGGGGTTGCGGCGTGGAGGAAGATTTGAGTTTCCTGAGGATATTTTGAATACAGAAGCTCTTTATGAAACATGAAACATGTATTTTATATTATTTTAACGGTCAAAACAGCGGTCGATGTCGGTGCGACGTCGCCCCGACGTCGGCCCGACGTCGGCTGGACCTCAGCAATTGATCTCGGTCCGACGTCGGCCCGACCTCGGCTGGACCTCGGCTGGACGTCGGAACATGCGGGCATATCCGACATCCAGCCGACGTCGTGCCGAGGTTGGACCGACGTCGGGCCGACGTCGACATGCCGATGCCGAGTTGCCGACATCACCCCGACGTCGGCCGACGTCGGGCCGACGTCGGCATGTTTACTGGGTACTATCACATATATTCCGGTTTTTTCGAAACTCAAAAAACTTTTTGGATTTTTCGGCTAATATATCCAAAAAAATGCTTTTTTGATTTTTGGGGATCAAAACTGAAAAATTTCAAAAATCCGAGACAGCAGTTTTGTAGCCCTGTCAATTCTACATCCTTTATGTTTGATTATTTTTCTGTATCTTCAAAGCTGTAGGCTTGACAGGTCTTCTTGCGAAGGTCTTTTTTCGGTCGAAAATGACAGAACATGACGTCATTCTGACGTCATTTGTGGCCAACCTATCGTAGCCTCTGGAAAATTTTTGGTCACAATGTGTCAAATTGATGCGCAGAGGGGTCCTGAAAGTTTGGTGGCGATATCTCCAGCCGTTTACGAGATATCGACCGAAAAGGACAGGGGGGGGGGGGGGCCGTTTCGCCCCCCCCTACGGGGCGCGGGAAAATTAAAAGCTTGCCAAATTTGGCGATGCTGCGTATCACGGTTCACTAAGGTTCCCTAATTTTGGCGATGCCATTATTTTTTTACGCCACCTACAAAAGATCCAGGACTACCTAATTCCTTTCATTATAAATTCACCCTGACCAGCTTCTGTGGCCTGGTGACGTAACCACTGGAACATCAAAATTTTAAGAAAATGTGCTTTAAGCATGGTCTATAGGATATGATTGCTTTTGTAATGAAATTATGAGTCAAAGCGTTTTACCCTATCTGTGAAAAGGTTCAATAGCCCTCGCGATTCGCCTGATCTATCGGTTTTCTACATATATTCGTTCCGGCCGATAGGGGTAAGAGCTCTGTTTGTCTTGCGTCATTTTGTCTCAAAATAAGTTTGATAGAAGTTCCACGTTGCAGAGCCAGCTTCTCCATCCCAAGAACGGTTAAACCGATCGCGCTCAAGCTTGGTAAATGGTAACTACGCCAGTATAGACCCGCTAGGTGGATGGTCCTCAAATGCCAGCTAGGATCTTATTTTGCCCTTTCATGTCCACACGTTCGTCGCCCAATATGACCTAATGTTATTCAGTGTCCCAGAATGCCTTCGTTTATTCAATCTGCAGGTACTAAATTCATGCATTCAACATGAACTCAACATGTAATACAACATGGATTCAAATTCACCTGCAGCCGAATTTGCGCACCAGGATGAGGTGCGGTCCGTTGATAAGCGGCCATCACCTGTTGGTTCACATCCTCTCTAGTAGAAGACTGATCAGTGGCTGTTTTGTTCCCACCCCCAACCCTCCCCCTCCACCGAGCCCTCCTAAGGAGATAAGCCAGGCCTCGGACGAGCGACTGGCATCACAGCCGCGCACATCAGTCAACTGACTGGCAGTGTTTTATTATTCAGCGAGAAACGAACCAAAGATACGCAAAAATAATTCACTGCTAGTGTTTGGTGAGTATTAGACTTGAATATAATAAATTGATTTTTGAGGTTATGTTGTTTAGTGCTCTGGCGAGGAACATCTTGTTATAATAAAGTATAATATTTGTTATGACCTTTTCCTCGAATTAAGAAATGTAAAAAAGTCGAAATGTAAAAAATTCGGGGATCATTTTACACTACGAGTCTGCTCATCCTACATCAACCAAACATGGGGTTGCCAGAAACCAACTAAGTCGAGCTATCATGAACTCATCCAATTCTGTGAAAGAGGGACGTAGCATCGACAAAATCCGTAGTTACTGATGGAGAATGGTTATCCTAGAAAGCTCTTAGACAGGCTTCTAAGGGAGATTCGGAACAAACGAGTGCCAGCTAGTCGACGGGACGGTAACAGGCAGGCACACTATGATGGCTTTTTATGCTTACCATATGTAGAAGAGGAACTTCTGTGTAAAATTAAAAGTAAAGTAAGGAATTCCGGACTTAACGTAAAGATTGCGTGGAAAAACCAGAACAAACTCAGAGACAAACTAGTACGTTCAACGCTAGTGAAGCCGACATGTCCGGGTGGTCAAAGGTGCCATTCGTGCAAGTCTGGCTTTACGGGTGACTGCACACAGACAAATGTTGTGTACGAACTGTCGTGTGAGATCACGGACGTATAAGTAAACTAGACCCGCAACCACCTCCATTCAGGTGAAGCCGACAAGGCGCCATTTTACGTTGCCAAAAACCCCTGCTCTGAAAGGTCATCGAACCATTACACTTGGAATTGCGTCTAAACGGATGATCGGATCGAGATGCTGGTGGTACCGTTCGATGGGTAATGCCTTGAGGCAGGGGATGATGCATGTCACAGGTCATTCGGTGTCACGTGGCGCGTGCCACGTGCCGACAAAGTCGGGAAGGGCAAAAACCTTTAAGCGACGCTCCAAATTAAACGGTGGGGGGCACAGGTGCCAAATTCACAGGTCACATGTCCCGGTGTTTGATCATTAACATATGGCATGCTTGGCAGCAGGGGGTGCGGAATGCACGCGCCAGGGGCGAAAAACATGTTTTGAGGATGCATCCTCCGATTCCGGAAAACCTTGTCCTAGGCACACCACAATTGGCACACTGACACTACTGGACGAGCGCTTTAAGGCGCTGTGCAAATAGATGTGCTGGGGTACACGGTGCACGTGCTGTGCACGTGCAAACCTTTTGATGTTGCACTCTGTGACACATATACGGGCAGAGCGGGTAGCGCTAGCAAGCTCAAAGTGCCAAATTTACACAGGCCACCCAGAATGCATTCCAGCATAGTTATTGAGCATATCTATCTCCTGGTGGACCCCAAAGGTGCGCTCTGCACGTGCAAAAAATTATCCGCGCCGGGCGGTGGGGATGCTTGGACACCCCATGTAGGTTTATGTAAATATCTCGAAAACGGCGTTGTGGAGCGCCGCCGTTTTTAGCACACCCTTTCATGAATCTTTTTGGGGAATATTTGTTTCTGGTCCCTAAAAAGCTGTTTCTGGCATCTAATTGCTGATCAGCCCCAAAATGCTTATTAGACCCTAATATCTGAATCTGGCACCTAATTGCTTCCACACAGCCTTAAGTTGCCAGATCGTCTAGTTGAACTCCGTTTTTGCTGTTTGCTGATTCAGCACCAAAACCAAAACATCCAGCACCTATTTTATTCCACGTTTGCCTACCTAATTCGCGTAATCTTCCTGATTTTATGTATCCTAACAACATGAACGTTGCATTCGGTGATGTCAAGTGCCATTTTCGCCAGTGGAGATAATGATTAATGCCATTTCTAGCCAAAAGAGAATCACTAGCCAGCTATGGTGCAGCATAGCAAGACGCTCCTATACCAGCCCGCTATGTAGAGACTAGAGATTACTGCACCCTCAGCCATTTTAACGTGAAAAGTTTGGATCCGTCACTTCCAGCCAGGCTCTCAAGTCTCAGGTCATAAACTGGAGTAAAGCAAAATGTCAACTCTGAACAGACATGCCACGCAACCGGCCCTCTTTTCAATATTATTAGCTTTCTGCAATCATCGTCTGACTCCATCTCGATCAAACGCAGCATCCGGTTTCTACAGGGGCGTTTGACTGACCGGCCACACAATAACCAAAAACAAAATCAAAGCTTCATGCACACATATGACATAAGTAAGAAACGGATGAAAAAGGGACAACCACGGCACAACTCTGCGCGGCAAACAACGGACAATGTCCCACGCAAGATCCCGCGTTTCTTCAGCGGCCTTGAACGGAATGAAAACATTACATTTCTTTTTTGGAGCTATTTGATGACGTCAAAAAATACAATACCCGTTTTAATGGTCAAAATCGAGACAATTACTCACAAAAATGTTTCCCTTCAAGCATTACAAATAAATACTTTTAAATATTTAAATGACATTGTTTTTTTTTCAAACAAATCAATATTATTTGCTTACTTAAACGTCATATACAATGCTGAGATCACTACGGGGCTGTCTTAGAGTGTAGCTGCACTGGCAACCTTTAGGCTAGACCAAGGGCTAGACTCCAGGGGTCATTATACCAGAACAACATGATTCTACCAGCCAGTAGTTCATTTTTCTACTAGATTGGTGCTACGCTCAGCATTTAGGTGCCAGATTCAGAAAAAGAGTAAGGCGTACCGATGAATAGGTGCCAGAAACAGCTAATTAAGGTCATTTTCCATTATTGATGCTGGTATCCACCAAATAGGTGCTGAGGACCAATTTTGGGGCGAGTCAGCTTTTAGGTGCCAGAAATAGCTTTTCTGGGACGCAATTAAATGGCGTCCAATCTTTTTCACACATGCTGCATAACTTTCAGACCCAGGTCACTCAAGGCTAGGTCACCAGGTTACGTCCAAGTGGCCTTACCTTAGGAAAAGTTATAATGCCTGTCATAGGCATTGTTACAGAGGTTCTTTTATCACACATGTCGCGTGCACATATGTTTTGTGATGATTATCGTATTGAGGTCGGGGAAGACGAGAGAACGAGGGTGAAGAAAATATATAGAAAAATGAGAACGAGGCCATTAAGTTGTTTTAAGAAAGTTAAGCGAAGTTAAGATAAATAAAGCATTAAGTTACAAAGCTAAGCGTAACACAACGCGAGGAAATAACCATTAAGACTATCCGAACATTTGGTGCCAGTGAACACGGATGAAGCAATGCCGGGAAAAAGACAGAGAAGTAAGAAGACCGGAGGTGAAGAAATGAACAATACCAGCAACACTTCTGTAAACCCTGAGGAATCAATGATGGAAGCCAGTGTGCCTCATAGTTTGTATAGGCGAAAGCAAAAGTTAGTGACGCAGATACGTAACGACGAGTGTGAATTACATGCTATGCTCATAGAGGGAAACGCATCAATCTCAGTCATACAAGCACTGATTGCCAAGCTGGGAGAGCTAACGACACAGTTGTTGGACATAGTAGAAACTATGCAAGATGAAGATAACTCAGAAGACGGCTCATCTGTGCGATCAGGACCTCTGTGGAAGAATTATGAAGCTCTAGAGAATGACATCGCTGATTCGGTCTCGCTAGCAAATAAATACATTCGCCAAAAGATATCAGAGAACACAGATCGTTCAGATTCGCACAGCTCCAGTGGTTCAGTGAAAGAAGTTGAGAAAGTAGAAGCGTGCACGATTCCTGGTTTGAAAAAGCCTGAGCTGCCAGTCTTCAGTGGGGATCAGATGCAGTTTAGTGACTGGTCGGAGATGTTTAATGCATTCGTCGACAGCGAGAAAATACCGGCTAAGTTCAAGATGATTTACATGAAAAACTATCTCGCGGGAGAGCCTCTGAGAATTGTAGAAAGGTACAGACCCACAGAAACGGGATATGCAAAGGCGAAAGAAGAGTTAGACAAGAAATACGGTGGAAAAATGTTCAAAATCCGAAACGAGCTTGATTCAATAAGACGCACGCGGCCGATTCAAGTGGATGAAACCAAGCGGCTAGAAGAATTCTCTGACAGAGTGACAAGTTTAGTGACAAACTTAAAGGAAAGTGGATGCGTGTCAGATCTCACAAACACGTCTGCATACTACTTACTTGTTGTAGAGAAGCTCCATCATTTCTACGTGAAGAACTACAACAGATGGCTAAGCACTGAGCACAGAGAAGACAACTTCGAGTCATTCGCCGAGTGGCTGACAGATGAAGCGCTATTCGAGAAAAGAGCAAAGCAAATGACACAAACCACGAGCAGCATGCCAAACACTCGACATCAGCAAAGGAAGACATTCCGAGTGAAGACCCAGAATCAACATCAGCCAGCAGTGCGGCAGTCCTTCAGTCCGCCGTCAGATACAAACTGCATGGTTTGTCAAGCTGATCACGCCTTGGAGAGCTGTGCTGTTTTTCAGAGCTGGACAGTGGGCAAAAGATACGAGTTCTGTAAGCAGACAAGAATCTGTTTTAGATGTCTCGCCGGACAACATCGTGGAATAAGATGCCACCGGTTTCCTGGATGTCAGTTAGAGGGGTGTGGAGGAAGCCACCACACCTTACTGCATGCCAGTCTGCGACAAGATAAGCAACTGGAACAGAGAGGACGGCTGAAAGAGCAGCACCGACAGACGGAGAACACAAGTCAGAACCGTCAGACTACGAGCCATCTACCACAGCAAGGTCAACTAGAACAGAGCGGACAGTTGAGCTGGTCACAATACCGCCAAGAAGGAGCTCACAGCAGTGGATGTCAGCCATCGCGCAACACGCCAAACACCACCAGCAGTAGCAGTAGCGGGAACACACAAAGCTCCGGAATAAGCTACAATACGGCAGCCTCCAGATCACCACCAGGAAAAGGAGCGACCGCATTCCAGACAGTTCCAGTGCGCGTGCACCACAACGGCCGTTCGGTTACCCTCAACGCGCTACTGGACCCATGTTCTGACGCATCATTCATCAGTAAAGCAGCTGCATCCGAGATCGAATTCAATGGAACGAGCCAAAAGTTTGAGCTGGGAACGGTGACCGGCACACAAGACGTCACTATGAAAGCAGGTTCTGTGAAGTTATCCAGCCTGCACAGCAGTTATGAAGCCGCTCTGAACGTGTTCGTCATACCCAGTTTAGACGGAGCATCTGTGGGCATAAACTGGAACGACGCTAAGAAGAAGTGGGCGCATCTGCGACACATCCAATTCCCGGAGATGTCAAGAAGTCGTGGGGTCGATCTGCTGATAGGAATCAGCGCCAATACGATGCCCCTCTTCGTGCCACTGGATACTGTTCTTGGCACGACCGGAGAGCCAGTGGCAGTGCTCACACCGCTCGGTTGGACAGCGTTCGGCTGTATCGAAAGAGCAGCTGAAAACACCAGTGAAGATGTGTCATGCCTGAAAAAACATGTCAAACTTTGCAAAAACCCTGCGAACACATGTGAAGAAAAGAGTGTTTGAAGATGAGGTCCAGATCATGCAGTCAATGACTGACTTGGAACTGATGCAGGTGAAGTCAAGCGAAGAGCATCTTCTCTCACGTGAAGAACAGACTGCAGTTGAGAAGGTTAAGAAGTCTCTGAAGTACACGGGTAGTCGGTACGAAGCAGCAGTGCCATGGCGCAATGAAGAACCGTCACTCGAGAACAACTACGGCATGGCGATGAGTCGACTCGTGAATACAGAACGATCTCTTTTAAGGCGGTACGACGAAGATCTTCCAAAGAAGTACAATGATGTAATTGAACAGTACGTCCACAAAGGATATCTAACAGCAATCACAGACGAGGAGCACGGACAACTCGAAAGTAAAGTGTGGTATCTACCACACTTCCCAGTCGTTAGAAACGACAGATCGACGACGAAGGTCAGAGTCGTTTACGACGCAGCTGCCAAGTGTGGAGACATCAGCCTGAACTCACAACTGCTCCCCGGTCCATCTCTCTACAGTGACCTGACGGAGACACTCGTCGGATTTCGTCGACATCCAGTCGCCTTGATCGGAGACGTATCTGAAATGTTTCTCCAGGTGGAGCTGGCGCCGGAAGACAGACGATATCACAGAATACTCTGGAGAAACATGAGAACAGATGAAAACCCAACAATATATGAAGCAAATCGCTGGATATTCGGAAACGCTGCCGCTCCTTTTGTTGCTCAGTACGTGTTAAGGGAGCACGCTCTAAGACGGGCGGACGAATATCCACTTGGAGCTGAGGCCCTCACCAGCATGTTCTACATGGATGACTGCATTGCCTCCTATGAATCCAGCACAGTAGCCGCGGAGGCAAGAAGACAAGTAGCTAGGGTACTGCAAGAAGCTGGAATGAAGATAAGAAAGTGGATGTCAAACCGTGAAGAGGTGATGAGCACCATTCCTGAAGAAGACCGTGCGAATGAAGCTGAACATATCATTGAAGAAAGGAGTTCAGCCTCCACCAAAACGCTGGGCGTTGTCTGGTCGACAAAAGAAGACCGCTTGTCCGTCGATTCTTCAAGACAACGCTCGACTGAGATTCTCACCAAGAGAAGCTGCTTGAAGGAGATGGCAGCAGTCTTCGACCCTCTCTGCTTGTTCTCACCATTTGTAGTACGATCGAAGATGCTGTTCCAAGACACATGGGCCGCAGGCGTGGACTGGGATGATCCACTAACAGAAGACCTAGAAGGCAAGTGGAAAGAGTGGCTCTCTGAGCTCGGTGACCTCGGCAGTCTTTCAGTCCCAAGATGCCTGCATCCATATGAAGGAACACCAAAGCAAGAAATACACGTCTTTTGCGACGCATCAGAACAGGCTTACGCAGCAGCAATTTACGTAGTGTCTGAGTATGGTGGCGAGCGCTCCTCACATCTAGTTCTTTCACGTGCTAGAGTCACACCACGGGCAAAGCAGCACACCATTCCACGCTTGGAACTGATGGGGGCACTTCTCGGAGTACGTCTTGTGAAGAAAGTTTGTGAAGTCCTCAAGATACCAGTTGATGACGTTCACTTCTGGTCCGACTCCATGGACGTCTTGTGTTGGCTCCGAAATGAAGTTCGCCGCTTCCAAGCATTCGTGGCCCATCGTATCTCTGAGATCAGAGAGATGACCAAGCCTGACCAGTGGCAACACGTACCTGGTGTCGAAAACCCAGCCGACCTGCCAACGAGAGGTCTGACGATAGAGCAGCTGCGCGTCAATGAACTTTGGTGGCATGGGCCGGCCTACCTGTTGAAAGGAAAAGATCAGTGGCCTCTGAAGAAAGAGTTCAACAAAGAAGAGCATGATCAAACGGAGTTCAAGAAACAAGCACCTCAGAAAACAGTGCTGGCAACTTCTGTTCCAGACATGCCAGACGAATTCCGTCTTCGACCAGAGAACTTCTCTACATGGCGCAGACTAGTGCGTGTAACCGCTTGGGTGTGGCGATTCATCCAGGCGGTGAGGTGTAGAGTAGAACCAGCAAGTGAAGAACATGAAGTCCAAGAAGCTCAGAGAGTAGAGCTAGACCCAGACGAACTGCTGAGAGCCGAGAAGTTCTGGATACGTCAAGTACAAGAGGAGGCGTACGGTTCTGAAATCAAAGAACTACGAAGAGAGAGCGAAGTAACAGGGGGAATCTCAAGCAAGAAGTCACGTAAGCAGAGCTCGATCAAACAACTTACCCCTTTCCTGGATGAAGATGGAATTTTGCGAGTCGGAGGCCGGCTTCAGAAGTCTGAGTTGGCGTTTGATTCAAAGCATCCGGCTATCTTACCAAGGAGACATCACATCAGCAAGCTGATCATTCGACAGCACCATGAGGACGCAGACCATGCAATGGGGACGGAGCACACTCTGTCCGAAGTCAGACGTCACATCTGGATACCAGGAGCCCGTCAACTCATCAAGTCAGTGGTGAGAAACTGCATCGTCTGTCAAAAGGGCCGCAAGAAACCGGAAGCACAGCTGATGGCTCCTAAGATCGGCAGTCAAGTTTGTCCATCGTTTCGAGCGTTTGACAAATGCGCAGTAGACTATGCAGGTCCATTCGAAACCAGACAAGGAAGAGGCAAGACACGACAGAAACGATACTTGTGCCTGTTCAGCTGTCTACAAACAAGAGTTGTTCATCTCGAGATGGCCTATGGGCTAGACACGGACAGCTTCATCAGAGCTCTCATGAGATTTGTATCCAGAAGAGGCAAACCGTCTGAGATCACATCCGATAACGGCAGGAACTTTGTCGGAGCCACGAAGGAACTGAAGTGCTTGGTAAGAAGCATTGACTCAAGCAAAGTGCAGGAAGAGCTGTCAAAGCATTGTATCAGGTGGCAATTCACCCCACCAGGAGCTCCCCACTTCAACGGCGCGTGCGAGGCAATGATCAAGTGCGCCAAGCGGGCTCTGAAAAGAACACTCGAGAGGGCCGATCTTACCGATGAGGAGCTTCAAACTGCCTTCTGCCGAGACGAGGCACTGCTGAACACCAGACCAATCACAGTCGTCTCAGCTGACGCCAACGATGAGAAGCCACTGACGCCAGCAGACTTCATCTTGGGGACGGCTAGCATCGAGACCTCACCGGCATCACAGGATGACGCTACAACTCTTCGGCAGCGCTGGAAACGGCTCCAGCAACTATCCATAGAGTTTTGGAAGCGTTGGCTTCGAGAATATGTACCAGCTCTCCAGGCGAAGTCAAAGTGGTTGAAGCCTCAGACCGACTTGAAATCAGGCGATTTGGTCCTGGTGATCGACGCAAATACCCCGAGGAGTCAGTGGCCACTGGGGCGAATCGAGGAAGTGTTACCGGGGAAAGATGGCCACGTGCGTGTGGCTACAGTGAAACTGCACAATAAGGTCGTGACGAGACCAGTCGTGAAGCTGATTCACATCGATGTGCTCCAGTGAAGTAGTAGCCAGTAGTCAAAGTAGTGGAAATGTGAAAGTGATACCTCTATGTAGAATTGGTTGAATTCGTGTCAATTCAAAGTCGAGGGGGGTGTTACAGAGGTTCTTTTATCACACATGTCGCGTGCACATATGTTTTGTGATGATTATCGTATTGAGGTCGGGGAAGACGAGAGAACGAGGGTGAAGAAAATATATAGAAAAATGAGAACGAGGCCATTAAGTTGTTTTAAAAGTTAAGCGAAGTTAAGATAAATAAAGCATTAAGTTACAAAGCTAAGCGTAACACAACGCGAGGAAATAACCATTAAGACTATCCGAACAGGCATTATATATAATGCCTGTCCGTAATGCCTGTATATAATGCCTGTCATGTTACGACGCCATCAGTGGTGGTTGACACCTACTATGGATAAGCTACTTTACTATGGATAATTGATACTTCACTATGGATAAGATACTTTACGTATACCTATATGGTGCTCTTAGTAATCGCCGCCAACGTTTTAGACCGATTGTTCAGTCTGTGTAGCTATGACAGGCATTATAACTTTTCCTAAGGTAAGGCCACTTGGACGTAACCTGGTGACCTAGCCTTGAGTGACCTGGGTCTGAAAGTTATGCAGCATGTGTGAAAAAGATTCATGAAAGGGTGTGCTAAAAACGGCGGCGCTCCACAACGCCGTTTTCGAGATATTTACATAAACCTACATGGGGTGTCCAAGCATCCCCACCGCCCGGCGCGGATAATTTTTTGCACGTGCAGAGCGCACCTTTGGGGTCCACCAGGTGATAGATATGCTCAATAACTATGCTGGAATGCATTCTGGGTGGCCTGTGTAAATTTGGCACTTTGAGCTTGCTAGCGCTACCCGCTCTGCCCGTATATGTGACACAGAGTGCAACATCAAAAGGTTTGCACGTGCACAGCACGTGCACCGTGTACCCCAGCACATCTATTTGCACAGCGCCTTAAAGCGCTCGTCCAGTAGTGTCAGTGTGCCAAATTTGGTGTGCCTAGGACAAGGTTTTCCGGAATCGGAGGATGCATCCTCAAAACATGTTTTTCGCCCCTGGCGCGTGCATTCCGCACCCCCTGCTGCCGAGCATGCCACATGTTAATGATCAAACACCGGGACATGTGACCTGTGAATTTGGCACCTGTGCCCCCCACCGTTTAATTTGGAGCGTCGCTTAAAGGTTTTTGCCCTTCCCGACTTTGTCGGCACGTGGCACGCGCCACGTGACACCGAATGACCTGCGACATGCATCATCCCCTGCCTCAAGGCATTACCCATCGAACGGTACCACCAGCATCTCGATCCGATCATCCGTTTAGACGCAATTCCAATTGTAATGGTTCGATGACCTTTCAGAGCACGGGTTTTTGGCAACGTAAAATGGCGCCTTGTCGGCTTCACTATCTTCCATAGGAGGTCCACTGGGATCGTCAGTCCAGTTTATTTATACGTCCGTGTGTGAGATCTGTCATGAAAATGTCCATTACCGGGGTTACATGAGCGATCCGTTCCAAATACGCACTACGCTAATGCGCATCAGCTCCCCACAAACGGATCTACGGCACCGGTTACATGAGACTAATTCGTTTTATCTACGTCAAACGGATCTTGTTTGGCTCACCCGGGCTGACTCCTCGACGGCCGGTAATTCGCATCACAAACGGAATAGGATTAGCGTACAGTCATGGCGCAGTTGCGGCATTTACCGGGACGACTGAGCTAAATTTTAAATACTAATATCATTTGATAGGCTCAAAAAATTAAAATTAACATGAAATCAAAAAATGAAAACAAAGTTTTCTTGTTTTAAGTCAGTGGGCACTGATTCGCCATGCAGCGACAGCAGGGTGGTCAGAAAAAATTATCTATCAAAATATTTCATTCATTTTATTTCACATGCAAAGACTAAACCAAAATACCAACATTTTTTTTGCTATTTACTACGAGGCAGCCAATAAAAAAAAAAATGCTTAGTATTTTGCATTTTGACGCTTCCAGTCAGCAAAGAATAGTTCTTGTGAAATACGGCCCGAATCGTGTGCCTCAGACGTTTCGGTTACATGAGCTATCCGTTCCAAATACGCACTACGCTAATTCGCATCAGCTCCCCAAGAACGCATTCAGTGCACCGACTACATGAGCAAATTCGTATCAGTGACGTCAAACGGATCTAGTTTGGCTCTCGGCCCGATGCGCATTACAAACGGAATAGCATACAAATGTGGCGCACTTCCGTAGCAATAGAGGTGACTAAATTAAAAATTTATTATCTTATGTCTTTTTTGCATTTCATCTGCTCAAAACATTCTCAATTAACTTAACAAAAAAAAGTTGAACATAAAGTTGTCTTGCTTTGACTCATTGGGCAATTGCCTCTCTTGATTCGTCTGTAGTGCTGTCAGAAAAATGTTTCAACTGAAATTATGTGGATATTTACTATTTGGTTTTCACTATATTTATCGTTGAAAACTTGACAAAATACCGACATATTTTTTTAAATATTATTTCAAAAGAAGAAAATGAAAAAATACCTATTATTTTGCATTTTAATGTTTCTTTTTGCGAAGAAATAGTTCCTGTAATACGTATCTTGGTCCTATTCGCTTCTAAGCCTGTTTCCCAGCGGATTTTGTTCGGACCGCCGATTCGTATTAGCAGGTGGATACATGAGTCGGTAGTACGCTCCTGATTCGCATTAGCGGTGAATCCGATCGTGATACGTATTTGCTTTGCTCATGTAACCGCGGATCGGATCACCGATTCGTACTAGCAGGTGGCTACATGAGTCGGTAATGCGTTCCTAATTCGAATTAGCGGCTAAATACGTATTTACTGTGCTCATGTAACCCCGATACATGACAGCAAGTACATAGGAGAGACGAAGCGTCCTGTGCGTTTGCGTTTCAATGAGCACCTCAGAGATCCCCAAAATCAAACCCAAGACACTCCGATGGGTGATCATTTCAGGGTACACCACCACTCAGAGGATAGAGGCAGCGCGTCTAAAACTTCGTATTCTATATCGTTCAAGGGATCATCCAGACAGGAAGATAACAGAGTCTCCATTAATACAGAAGAAACGACCCCAACTGAACTATAATCAGTCTTCTTGGCCTATTCTCTAGGTCCCCCTGGCGCCGAACTACACTTATCACTCTGCTTCTTATCAATGTATCATATTCTATACAGTGTGGTCCACACGATTCAGTTTTACGAATACAGCGAATACAGCGAATAGCAACGAATAGTAACGAATAGCAACGATTAGCAACGAATAGCAACGAATAACTACGAATTTTACGATAGCGAATTTACTGATTACTGATGTGCAACACTCGTTGTTAATTTGAGATACGAACTCGATCACATGTACAGTCTGTCTTGAAAGTACCGCAGCATGGGCTGCGGCGGCCCGGCGAACTAAAGGTCGGGAGCTCGGTGGTTTGAGAGCCTCAGAGCACGTGACGGCAGTGAGCCAGGAGAGAGTGACCGGGCAGGTCGCGTGGGGTGCCGCTCTCCCTTACTCTTTCCACCCCGCTGCGGCGCCTGTCGCCCGGGGGCACGGGCCGTCTGCGAGCACGAGTGGAGAACTTGACCGGCCCGGCCGATCCCTCGGTGGCCGGATCACCCTTGGAACCGTTTTATTCTCGACGAAAAGACAGACGAAGCCAATCTAAAGGCTGAGCGCGACTACTTGCATTGCTATCAGAACATGACATATATTGAACAAATGAACAATAATTTACGATCATGGAACGGAGCAGAATAAATGTAATAAAACTGAAATAACAATGTGAATAACAACACAGAACAATGTCAACGCAGTAGTTTGTCGAAAATCTCAGATTCACTATGGGTTTAAATCTGATGATCGATTAATCCAGTAACTTAGGATAAAGTAATTTGTTTCGTATTTATTTATGCGAGATAAAAAGTAAAAAAAAAAACTCCCATTCTCACCACCCTTGTTGAGATTGAAACACAATAGTATTTAAACGAAAGCCAATGGAAGTAAGATGGAATGGTAACTAAACCTTTTGCTCATGGAAGCCAAAGCAAATCCTACACTTGGGTGTTTTTGTCTTTCTTTAGTTATGTGCCAAAGATTACTATTCCATCTTATTAGAAGTATAATCATTATCATGCAAAAAAAACACTAGAAGGCAAATGGCTGCTACATAAAAAAACATCACAAAATAACTAACACATTATACCTACTCCTTACTTCCTATACATAAAAGTTATAGGCAAATATTTTCATTTTACGATCGACTGGCCAAGCACTTGTTCGTAGCGCCTACTTCCAGTTAGAGGATTGATAATCGTAGGTATACCAAACACGGAGTATGCGTATTTGTGCGGAAGGTCACTGAGATTATGGGTATGAACAGCTAGCGGCATATTAATATTTCAGTTCCTGAGTGCTCACTGTTCACTGTTCAGCTCAAGATGAGAGTTGAGATCATACAAGGCTGTATGGTGTGAATTTTATTCGTTTAATTTTATTAATATATTTATATATTTAATTTTATTCTATCAAAACTCCTCTCTCTCTCTCTCTCTCTCTCTCTCTCTCTCTCTCTCTCTCTCTCTCTCTCTCTCTCCTCTCTCCCTCTCCCTCTCCCTCTCCCTCTCCCTCTCCCTCTCTCTCTCTCTCTCTCTCTCTCTCTCTCTCTCTCTCTCTCTCTCTCTCTCTCTCTCTCTCTCTCTCTCTCTCTCCATAAGATGCTGAAAATTTTAGCGGACTCCAACAAATGTTGCAGAGTCCAAAATAGCTACCAAAGCAGTCCGGAAGAGTTACGTCAATCCCTGTGCCTGCAAGTGATACGTTTATGCTTATGGCAGTGCACTGGTCCGGAGTCAGAGTCGGAGTCGGAGCCGATCACCAGCCGAAGTCAGATTTGGAGTTGCAGTCGTAACAGCGCCGTCGCGACTCAGAACCCTCATCTTCTTTATATTTTCGGCTTCAAAGTAGCTGGCTAGATTTACTGCTTCACAAAGCAGGCTCTCTGCACACTGCTGCGTGGGGGGGGGGGGGGGGCTGCAACGTCCCTCCACACATACCTGACATTGCATCTTTTTTAAACACTTTGATGGCGGAAAGAATCAGACCCAGATCTTTTAAGGTCGGGTCACTTAGGTT